TTCTTTTTTAATTTTATATATAAGTGAACAATTTAGTCGTTTGACTCAATTTTAGAGACCACACAATATCATATATATAAACTCTTTCTTTTTTAATTTTATATATAAGTCATCAATTTAGTTGTTTGATTCAATTTCGTCGCTTCACGATTTAACAAAATTCACAAGATTATATTTTAACCAGAAGACAGAAAACAAAAAGTAAGAAAGTAAATAGAAGATTTTCAGATCTTTGCTGAAATCTGAATCTTTGATGGAATGATATAGAAAGAAATATATGTTTCAGAATGTCGTCATACTTCCTGAATATTAACTTTAGTATTAATACATTTTTAAAACGGAAAAATTGGCTGAGAAAAAAATCTGATTTTAATTTCATTTAGATTATTAATATTTATTATTAGTTCACTCCTTATCTAACTAGGATTGTAGGATGCTTCGCGTTCATATTTGTGCTTTAATTCTCCTTCTTGATCAATTCTATCCCTAATCAATTCTCTTCTAATCAATTTTCTTGAAATCTATTTTTTTCTAATCAATTCTCACCTAATTATTTCTCTTCTTATCAATTATATTCATAGAGAATAGAATATATAGAGAGGAATTTACTAGAAAAAAGTGTAAAACGGCCATTTTGTTGTACTGTTTCCATACTGCAGGTGTACTTCACATATTTATGCTATATAACCTGTAGGGCCCTGGAATTTCATTTTATAGAAAATCTAAAATTATTGCTAAAAGAAAACCAAATTATGAAATAGGCTGGTTTCATAATTGACCAATGATCATTTCACATAGACTCTATGCCTTCCACTTTACAAACGATGATTTTCCGTTATAACTATAAATCAAATGATGTTTTTATTCACCTAATTCATTATAAAGTTTATTTAACAGCTTTAAAAATTTCGAAATTAAAATGAATAGTCTAGGGAACATACTGTATTAATGTACTCTACTGCATATAATTTGTGAACATTTACATGATTTGTACACTTTGAACTCCCTTTCAGGCTGAAAGGGACTGAAAAAATTCATACCGAGAGATTCTTTTAATTCCTCTCTATATATTCTATTCTCAATGATTATATTATTATTAATTCTCTCCTAATCAATTCTCTTCAATCTATTCTCTCCTAATCAATTCTTTCCAAATCAATTCTCTCCAAATTAATTCTGTTCTAATCGATTCCTTCCAATCAGTTCTCTCCTAATTAATTATCAACTAATCAATTCGTGTAACCAATTCTTTTCTAAGTAAATCTCTTCTAATCAATTCTCTTCTAATCAATTATCTTATACTCAATCCTCTTCTTATCATCTCTCTCCTAGTCGATTCTTTTCAAATGCAATATAACAGGGTGTCCCAAAAAACATGGGAATTCAGTGACGAATTGGATATCGTCTTTGTTATGAATTAGCATTGTAATACCTAATTTCAAAAGCCATAATATTATTATGTCTGCTATAGTTTATTTTAAGAAAAGGGTAAAACACTATATAGATGTGTCTATAATGTCTCCACAAGATAAACACTGAAGACAGACAAGTAAGTTTACTCTTTTTGTATACTGCAATTTTCTTGTTTTACTAAGTACAACCGTACGCAGTCAATAGCAGACGAAACTCTTACAGATTACAGCTTTCTCAGTAGGTATCACTAAACTAAATCAAAGAATTATTTAAAAAGACGATATCGAATTCGTCACTGAATTCCCATGTTTATTGGGACACCCAGTACCACAACCTCAAAAACTAAATATTCAAATTTAAGAAAAAGCTTAAAAAAGTGTACGCTAAACAGTAGTGTACGCTAAACAGTTAGAGCTACAAGCTTTTTCAAACAAATTTAAACATTTTTTCACCTATTTTCTTCTCCCAAACAAACATACGTCTTTCATTTTCTTTCATTCTTCCTTTTTTCCTTCCTGCCTAGCTCATACTTCCTGTTTACCTCTTTAATTTTTCCTTCTTTTCTTCTTATATCACTTTCCTCTTTTATTCATCCTTATTTCCTCCTTCTTTTTTCCTTTTTCATTTCTCACTCTTTCTTCGTTCCTCCTTCTTTTTTCAGTCTTTTTTCTTCCTTCTTCCTTTTTTTCCTTTTTCATTGTTCCGTCTTTCCTCCTCCATTCTTTCCACTTTTTTATTCTTCCTTCTTTCCACCCTCATTCTTACCTTTTTCCTCCTCCATTCTTTCTTCTTTCTACCTTCTTTTTTTCGTTTTTTTTTTATTTTATTCTTTCATTTAATTTCCTTTTTTCCTCTTTCATTCATCTTTTTTCTTCAGCACGCAATTTGTTGCCAGTCACGGGGGGGGGGGCAAAAATCTTGTGAAAATGCGCGTTTAGGCAGGCTCTCTGCTGTTCCGAAAATGTGCTTGCCAGTCTCTTCGCTTTACGTTCGAGGATACTAGAGCGTCGGGAAACCCGTCGGTCGCAGGGTGCAATTTAAACTGCCCTTAATTTCTTCGTTATTTTTTTTTATTTTTCCCCTTTGCTCCTTCTTTTCCTCCTTTTTTTCCTTTTCATTCCTCTGTCTGCATTCCCTCTTTTCTCTTCCATTCTCCCTTCTTTTCTCTCCTATTCTTTCCTCGTTCTTTCTTCGTTATTCTTTCTTCCTTCTTTACGCTTTCTTCCTACTTTACTCTTTCTTCCTTCTTTTCTCTTTCTTCCTTCTTTACTCTTTCTTCCTTCTTTTCTCTTTCTTCCTTCTTTTCTCTCTCATCCTTTCTTCTTTACTCGTTCTTTCTTCTTTATTCGTTTTTCCTTCTTTACTCTTTCTTCCTTCTTTACTCTTTCTTGGTCATTGGTCATTTTTATGTCAAAACAATGACAAGCTAGGGGTGGAAAATGGGCTACCAAATTTTGGATATATAAAACATTCTTTATATTTAGGATTTCTATGACTAGGTACGTATTCCCAAGTTTTATAAATCCGACTGGAATGTTTATGTTTACATTATAGATCCAGTATTTAATCAAAACAATACTATACAACGCAGTACGGTTTTGTCTATCTATCTATCAAATTTTATCAAGCATCTAACAAGTTTTACAACTTTTAAAGAAATACTCCAATTTTAAACATAAAACATAACCTTTATGAATTCAGTCTTTTTTTTTGAAGATTTCGTATCCAAAGGATCCTAAAATATCCCTGAATGCAGATGTTTGCTGATTGGTCGTGTACAGTACTTGTACACAATAGAATATGCTGTGGAAAATATCGCATATTTTAGCTGATAATCGATCTCTGTAACTCTCTTATCTCTGGGCATGGTATTTCTCCTCTTCTAATCAATCCTTTCTTAATCAATTCTCTCCTTTGATGAAATTCTCTTCCAAGCAATTCTTTTCTAATCAATTCTCTCCAATGAATAAATTCTCTTCTAAGCAATTATTACTAATCAATTCTCTCCTATGAAAAAATTTTCTTGAAAGCAATTCTTTTTTAATCAATTCTCTCCTATAAAGAAATTCTCTTCTAAGCAATTCTCTCCAAATCAATTACCCAATTTTCTCCTAATCAATTTACCCCAAATCATTTTTTTCTGAATCAATTCCATCCTAATCAAATGGATTTGATCTATTTTATCTATATTTCTTCTATTACACATTATGCGTACAATTTTAATCTAACTCAATCTCTCATAATCTAATTTCCCGATTAAAGAATAATATAAGATGTTTAAATATGTTTATAAAGCAGGATTTTATTAATAACAAATGATTGTGGAAATAGCAACATCAGTTTTAACAATCAGAGAAGAGTCAAATAAAAAGGCACTTGAATCAGTTTTGTGTCTATTAAAAGCCTTAGCAATATTTCTGTAGGTACAGGGTGTCCAAGGAAACATGACAGTTTGTGAATAGTTTTAAATGTCTTCTTCCATAATTTTTAAAGTTCTTTGATACCAAAGAGAATAATAAAAAACATCGCTTGGAAGTATAATTATCATAAAATTGATTTCAAAGCAAAATATAATTGAGTAAAAGAGTTTAGCAAAATAAACTGCAAAAAGTCTTTGAAATATAATACTTCACATGAAAGAAGACATTCAAAACTATTCACCAACTGTCATGTTTCCTTGGACACCCTGTATGTCGATCTACAACGAACGATGGTTCGAAGTTTTTTTTGATTTACGCTTTCAAAAATATCGTTTTTCAATTGATGAAATGTATTACTATTAGGCGCTGATATTGATGAAATGTATATATTACTATTAGGCGCAGATATTGATAAAATGTATTACAATTAGGTGCAGAAATTAAAATTAATCGTTATTTCTTAGTTTATGACTTTTGTTGGAGTTAAAATGTTAAGTTTATGAAATCCCTTCACATAGAAGATTTAAATAAAAGGTGACTAGTATAATACTGTGTAACGTGTAAAGGAAAAAGTATTTTCTCAATACAAATATAAGACGCTAATACTGCTCATATTTCAGTTTTTTGTTGCTAAAATAGAAACTATTGATTATATCAATTTGAAAGTAAGACCAATTTTTACAACAACAAATAAATAGATAAATATTTATCAACTCGCGCAAGTTCTTTTTGGTAACTTTTCAAATGTTTATGGCCCTTCCGAAGTTTTGCTTGAGATTTTTATTAATAAGTTTAGTTTACATTGTAAGCATTAGAATATATTGGACCTTAATAAAATTAGAGATCGATTGGTAAAATTTTTATTTCTATCTGATATTTCTGTATAAGGATCATTTTATGAAAAATCTCATCTGTGGACTAGAAAAAACACAGGTTATAATAACATTTTTTGTGAGAAAACGCGAATCTTGAACGTTTGTTTTCTATATTCATCAACTTAAAGATTTAAAGTTTTAATCATCAATTTGCAGGTTTCTCTGTCAGGGTAAGAACATAAGATATTCAAGTGAAATTAGTTTAATCATTTCCAAACTAAAAGATACAGAAAACAAAAGTTGTATCCTCTAATATTGAACCTAATCTAACTCTTTTTAGGTAGCAATGGAAATATAAGAATTATCATTGACGGGTAAATGTCAAATTTTAGTATATCAATTTTCGGTTTCAAAAAATACTTCTTTTGAAAAATGACATACAAAAATAAATTCATTGAATTGAACTTTTAATTTTGTTTTCTCTGAAACATAAGGCACTTCCAGTACGGATGATTGGGTACATGATACATGACACATGTACAAAAAAAGAGGCAATATTATATAGAACAATAATCAGTTCTTAAAGAATACTGTTTTACGTACAACTTATATATAAATATAAATATATAAACATTACACAAGAAGAATGGTGCTATTTTACAACTTTCTCAAGATCTTTCAAAGTTCTATTCACTGCTAAGAGCACAGTATCTTAAAGTACTTCTAAAGTTTTTATTCACTGCTAAGAACACAGCATCTTAAAGTTCTTCTAAAGTTTCTATTCACTGCTAAGAGCACAGTATCTTAAAGTACTTCTAATGTTTCGATTCACTGCACAGTGCACGGTATCTTAAAGTAGACCTGAACAGTGCACAGTACACGGTATCTTAAAGTTCTCCTGTACAGTGCATGGTATCTTAAAGTACTCCTGCACAGTGCACAGTGCACGGTATCTTAATATACTCCTGCACAGTGCACAGAATCATAAAGTACTTCTGCACAGTGCACTGTATCTTAAAGTACTCCTGCACAGTGCACGGTATCTTAAAGTACTTCTGCACAGTGCACGGTATCTTAAAGTACTCCTGCACAGTGCACGATATCTTAAAGTACTCCTGCACAGTGCACGGTATCTTAAAGTACTCCTGCACAGTGCACGATATCTTAAAGTACTCCTGCACAGTGCACGGTATCTTAATGTACTCCTGCACAGTCCATCAGATGCCAGCATCTTAAAGTACTCGTAAACTTGCGATTCACTGATTGCTTGCAGTAGTACTCCCGTGTAGACTAAGACAGACTCCTCCTCTGTTCTTTTATTGACCCCATTCTTGTGGATTTCTTTGTGATGAAAGATAATACGAGGGATAATAACTAGAGTACTCGTAATAGGACTCCATACTTCTAGGGTTAGGATACTCCCTACCAACCCCGGGGTACTCCCCTCGCAACGGGTACTCCGGGGACGGAGCTACCCGAGGGAGCGGTGAGGAGTGAGGTGAGGAAGGAGTGGTAAACTGGGAGTCCTCAGGAGTATGACGAGGGATCCTCCAGGAGTATAAATCCTGGTATCCTGGGACACTTTCCTAAAATAAATATTTTTTCTTTTTAATATGATTTGATATGATATGATATGATTATACATTGGCAGGTCATAATTTTTAAACCAATCAATTGTTAAATAGAAATCTAAACTATCTATGTAATCCTTATTCAGAAAAGGTTTCGAGAGTACCGGTGCGCCTCTTTAGTCTCTTTAAAAAACCCATGTAAACTCATGAACAGTCACAGTTTTACCGTGTAAAGCAATAAAATTGATTTTGAAGATGAGAGAATTACTCTGTAGACTTTTACCTGAAGGTATGTGGAGCCGGTTGAACCTCCCTGTTGTAAACTAGACCCGGAGTAACGGAGATATTCCATCCCTAAACCTGGCTCCGGGGGGCCCTAAACATACCGAATATTATACTTTAAAGAACCGCAAGAGAAGTTCGGAAAAGGGGGGGGGCATCTGCGGGGCGTAAAAATTAAAGAAAGAAAAACTCTAACAGAAAAAAAGTTTCTACGGGAGGTTAGAAAAGTTTCTATGGCAGGTTAGAAAAGTTTCTACGGCAGGTTAGAAAAGTTTCTACAACAGGTTAGAGAAGTGTCTACGGCAGGTTAGAAAAGTTTCTACAGCATGTTAGAAAAGTTTCTACGGCAGGTTAGAAAAGTTTCTACAACAGGTTAGAAAAGTGTCTACAGCAGGTTAGAAAAGTTTCTACAGCATGTTAGAAAAGTTTCTACAAAAGGTTAGAAAAGTTTCTACAGCATGTTAACAAAATGTCTACGGTAGGTTAGAAAAGTTTCGACAGCAGGTTAAAAAATCTACGGCAGGTTAGAAATGTTTCTACGCAGGTTAGAAAAGTTTCTACGGCAGGTTTGAAAAGTATCTACGGCAGTTTAGAAAATGTTCTACTTCAGGTTAGAAAAGTTTCTACGGCAAGTTATACTAGTCTACGGCAGTTTAGAAAATGTTCTACGGCAGTTAGAAATGTAACTTTAAAAATTACCAAAATTCGCATCAATGTATCAAATTGTCTAAATAATTTTGAAATTACCGGGTTGGGGCGAAGTCTTTCTTCCTCCGAGGGTGTGTGAGGAGGTGTTAAAGGTTCATCTTTCCCTCCTCCTCCTGTAGCTCCACCACCTCCTCCTCTTGTAGCTTCTGTAGCACAACCTCCTCCTACTCCAACCCGTCCTCCAACTCCACAGTCAGGACTATCAGGAGACTGGGGACCCAACCCAACCCCTCGTCGACGCCTAAAAAATAAAAAAGTAAAACGGAAAGAACCTTTGCAACACAACCATGTCAGTTCAATCATTGCATGATCCGAACCAGTACAAGCATTAACCAGTACAAGCATTTACCAGTATAAGCATTTACCAGTACATGTATTTACCAGTACAAGCATTTACTAGTACAATCATTTACCAGTACAACCATTTACCAGTACATGTATTTACCAGTAAAAACATTTACCAATACAAGCATTTACCAGTACAAGCATTTACCAGTACAAGCATTTACCAGTACAAG